CATAGTAATGTTGTTTATGTGTGTAGAAATTACTTTCCTCAGGTCTGGTAAATCTCATTGTACCACCAAAGATGCACGGATGTGAGAGAATAAAAACCATCACCATCTCTCTATGTCAGCTTATGCTATCGGTAAACAACCCACCTCTTACATATGTACGACTCATGTATTGGTGTTCAGAAATATATTAATTTAATCACGATTTACTTATTGATCGCTATACAAATCTCGACGTTTTACACCTCACTGATACGGAATAACCTAATTTTGCAATCTTGTCCGTATGTCTGTGTGTCTGTCTGTGTGTCTGTCTGTCTGTCCGTGTGTAAACACGATAACTTGAGTACCGTTACTGCTAGGTTGATGAAATTTCATATATAAGTATTTTATCAAAATCGTACATCCGTATCAACTTTTGAGCGATTTCCGAGTACTATTTCAGATAGATAAATGAAATTTGACATGTAAGTAAAAGATCTAATTCTCTACCTTCTGTCAAATTTTGAGTCATTTCCGTTGACCGGAAGTAGTAATTTACGCTACTTCCGATTTCTCAAAAAACAAATGTAAATTTTTAAAGTACAAATAATATTGCGCACTATTATGCACATCTTTATTTAGCGTTCACTTGATGTGCAATTCTTTTTTCTTCGAGATTATATTCTATTTTAAAAAGTTTGAGTATTTAAAATGGATTAAAAATTATGTCTAGAAGTCTATATCCCTAGTTGCCATCCCCCATAGTGTTAATTAGAATATTCGAGAAAGTTTAGGGGAGATCACTCCCGGTTTATTATTATGATAATTTTATTTCAGAATACTCTGTGATCGGTGTTCCGCCGCAATCATTTTTCAGAATACTTCTCTAGTGATTATATCTGATTAAATTATGTTTTTTTTTTCAACTCAATCTTTTTTTTCAAATGGTAAGCAGTTTTCTTTTCCATAGTTCTTCTGAAAACGTGAGCTATCAAAATTTGTCAAGATAAAATATTCGATGAATTGCTAAACTAGTGTGGGTACCAGTAGATCTGATATCTGATAAAACGTGTCGCTTAGCTGCTTGTCGAAAACATATTCAGTACGTGACTCATGCGCTTATTATATTAAATTAAATTTAGGTCATTTTGTGCCTAATGTCAGCGTCCACGGAGAGATAGGGTAAGAGATAGATAAATAGATAGAGAGAGAAGGGCTGTGTTAGTGGTGGTTTGAGAAGGAGAGTCAGTGAGAGAGCTCGAATTAAGCTGTGTTTAAGAGAGATCAGTTGTTGAAGAGGATGAGAGATTTGAGAGTTGAAAAAACATAGTTTTACAATTTTGTCCGAATGTGTGTATGTATGTGTGTATGTGTGTAAGTGTGTAAATGTGTGAAAGTGTGTTTGTGTAAATGTGTGAATGTGTGTTTGTGTTTATGTGTGTTTGTGTGTATGTGTGTATGTGTGTTATGTGTGAGTGTGAAAATGTGTGTTTGTGTGTATGTGTGTATGTGTGTATGTATGTGTGTACGTATGTGTGTAAGTGTGTAAGTGTGTAAGTGTGTAAGTGTGTAAGTGTGTATGTGTGTATGTGTGTATGTGTGTATGTGTGTATGTGTGTATGTGTGTATGTGTGTATGTGTGTATGTGTGTATGTGTGTATGTGTGTATGTGTGTATGTGTGTATGTGTGTATGTGTGTATGTGTGTATGTGTGTATGTGTGTATGTGTGTATGTGTGTATGTGTGTATGTGTGTATGTGTGTATGTGTGTATGTGTGTATGTGTGTATGTGTGTATGTGTGTATGTGTGTATGTGTGTATGTGTGTATGTGTGTATGTGTGTATGTGTGTATGTGTGTATGTGTGTATGTGTGTATGTGTGTATGTGTGTATGTGTGTATGTGTGTATGTGTGTATGTGTGTATGTGTGTATGTGTGTATGTGTGTATGTGTGTATGTGTGTATGTGTGTATGTGTGTATGTGTGTATGTGTGTATGTGTGTATGTGTGTATGTGTGTATGTGTGTATGTGTGTATGTGTGTATGTGTGTATGTGTGTATGTGTGTATGTGTGTATGTGTGTATGTGTGTATGTGTGTATGTGTGTATGTGTGTATGTGTGTATGTGTGTATGTGTGTATGTGTGTATGTGTGTATGTGTGTATGTGTGTATGTGTGTATGTGTGTATGTGTGTGTGTGTGTGTGTGTGTGTGTGTATGTGTGTATGTGTGTATGTGTGTATGTGTGTATGTGTGTATGTGTGTATGTGTGTATGTGTGTATGTGTGTATGTGTGTATGTGTGTATGTGTGTATGTGTGTATGTGTGTATGTGTGTATGTGTGTATGTGTGTATGTGTGTATGTGTGTATGTGTGTATGTGTGTATGTGTGTATGTGTGTATGTGTGTATGTGTGTATGTGTGTATGTGTGTATGTGTGTATGTGTGTATGTGTGTATGTGTGTATGTGTGTATGTGTGTATGTGTGTATGTGTGTATGTGTGTATGTGTGTATGTGTGTATGTGTGTATGTGTGTATGTGTGTATGTGTGTATGTGTGTATGTGTGTATGTGTGTATGTGTGTATGTGTGTATGTGTGTATGTGTGTATGTGTGTATGTGTGTATGTGTGTATGTGTGTATGTGTGTATGTGTTTATGTGTTTATGTGTTCATGCGTTTATGTGTTTATGTGTTTATGTGTTTATGTGTGTATGTGTGTATTTGTGTATGTGGGAATGCGTGTATGTGTGAATGTGTGAATGTGTTTATGTGTGTATGGCTACTCTGTCCCAACTCATAAGGAATTTACTGTTGGTTTTGAGTGCTTGCCGTAGTTTAAACATAACGCATGTGACGTCATTGTTTATTGCGTTCTTGTCACGACAATAAACACTTCTCCGGTGTATAATGACAATTGTGTTTCTACATTCAAATCAGGCTTTATTTTTATTTTCCTTCTTTAAAAACATTTCGTTCATAACATCCAACATATTATTTTCAACAAAATTCATTATCTTTAAGTTCTCTATATATCGCAGAACATACTGATCTTATAGCTTCAAAAAGGTTGCAGACAGAGAAAGAGAAAGAGAGAAAAAAACTGCACACAATGTCGGGACTGCACTGGCCTCTGTGAAAACCTATCTGTAAAAGACCATGACTTGTGTCTTTAGTAATCAGCATATACCCGGCGTTGCCCGGTTTTAGGAAATATATTACTTTTCGAATTAACCCTAACCACAACCAACCAAAACCAAAAAAACAACAAAAAGAAATATCACGTTAACGCAAACACAAATACAAACCAAACGAAAACATACAAACACAAACAAAACCAAGCAAACGAAAAACACAAAACCAACCACAAACGACAAACGCAACCAATAACGCAAACACAAACACAAAAAAACACAAACACGAACAAAAAAGCAAACGAAAACAAACCAAATTCCAAACGCAAACACAAACCAAACCACAAACACAAAGCCAAATTTAAACACAAAAAAAAAAAAACATAACGAACACAAAAGAGCAATAAAAACGCAAAAAGAAACAGAAACAGAAACGCAAACACTAACACAAAAACAAAAACACAAACATAAACAAAAAAGCAAACGAAAACAAACGCAAACACAAATCTAACTACAAACGCATCCTCATACCCAAGCCCAAGGAAAACACAAATGCAAAAAACAACAACACGTAAATACAATTAGAAACACAACAGCAAGCCTAAAAATAACGCAAATAAACGCAAACAAACTTAAATGCAAAACTAAAGTCATACTGCTCATAGACCAGCCCAAGACCCAAATCGCACTATGCTTCGGCGCCGGCGGAAGTGCCTGATTCAACTTTATGAACGACTATATTACACCAACTTATTCATAGTCTTTTGCACTCACTTAAACGAACGTAGGCGATATATAGTGCCAGCGCTACCTATAAGGCGAACTAGGCGGTCGCCTAGAGCACTATGCATACTATCTCCAATAGTAAAAAATTCCTAATAATGAATTACTTTGATTATATTATTCAAAGTTTAGGGTAATATACGAAGGCGTTGCGATCTATTTCGGTGACCGGGACAAACTATTTATTTTGTGCCCCATCTTCAAATTACAAATATATATTCGCGTTGTTAAACATTCGCCTCCCGCACTAGGAAATGTCGGTGGCTTTTTACCAGTCAGTTTGCCTTTTTATTTTGTGTAAAGCAACTGATGTAGAAAACAAGTAAATAATGCCTAGTAGCAGTCAACATCTTTATTTTGACTGTAAATAATCCAGTAATGAGCTTTTTATATTATTATCTAACCCGTTTGGCACCCCCTTTGGATCGACGCCTGGGCAGTTTTGATTTTTAAATAGGGCTAAGTCTAATTTTCTATCACTTGAATTAGAAATCTCATTAGCCAGACAAAAGCTGTAGCAATACATACAAGATAAATAAAATCTGACAAAATATATTAACACTATAAATTTCGGAAATGAAAATTGTTTTATAACACTTTAAATATTCATTTCTTTATCATTAATTTAGACTATAAGGACTTTAGATGTATAGCAGTATGGCAAAGAATTCTATTTCTTTCCATTTATTTCTTTGTAATCGCTGTTCGCCTGCTGTCCGTCCGCCCGCCACATACAGAATTGAACGTTATATATTAAATTAACATTTATATTTTGTTTTAGTAAACGGCCTTCACATGTTTGTCGCATTTGGGCAAGTGAAAATTCAAGCTTTTGTCTCTGTTGGGCAAGTGTCCATTCGGGAAATCAGCATTCAGGCAAGTGTCGGTCGGGACTTTACCGTAGACCCAATTTCATAATCTAATGTGGATTAAAATTGCTTTCTTATTGATGTGTTTGCTAAAATTCTAACTAAAAATATTTTTATTTATTTTATTAATTAAACCTAATTTAGCACACACAAACATGTGTAGTTTTATTTTTTCATTTGAATGCAATTGTATAATCAAAAATAAAAAAAAATGATGTTAGAGAGGAATCTTTTATTAGTATTCATCAGGATGTAACTTTTTTCATGCAAAGCTAGTGCCATTTTGATGTTAAGTCACCATGACAACACATGCTGTCAAATAAGATTTTTTGCCATTTATTTACTAAACGCTGCCCAGCTGACTTTAGCTGACCAGATGTGAGTGGCATCCCAGGTTTCTACAGTCACCTTAAAACTGGTGACTGTCACCTCACCTAGTGTCACCTTGTACCTGGTGTTAGCGGTGTTGTCCATGTCCAAATTGAGCAGGGATAGCACGACGGTCGGAGGTGTACAGCCGTAGGAGCTAGCGAACTGAACAGTTTGGACACTTCTCCTATATATGCCATCCTTCGTGTAAGTGTCGGAGTTTCCAAAATCGAGCAAGCCGTTTTCAATATGTGTGCACGCTTTATACACAGACAATGAAAAAAAGAAAATACATAAGCTTTTGAAGGTGAGTATAATTTACATAAAAACAAAATCATGATTAAATCGTTACATGTAAACTATCACGATATTATCGCTTTTATATTATTTCATTTCACTATATAGTCGCTGTTATATAGTTTACAATTAAAATGTTCGTTACAATGTAACCATATTAAATACTGTACAACAACATAACGAAACTTACATCCACATAACGTATTTTAAATAACAACATCACTTAAATGTACATCCACATAACGTAGTTTAAACAACATCACACAATGTACATCCACGTAACGTAGTTTAAATAACAACATCACTAAATGTACATCCAGATAACGTAGTTTAAACAACATCACAAAATGTACATCCACATAACGTAGTTTAAATAACAACATCACTAAACTTACATTCACATGCCGACATCGCTGAGATGAAACTCAAGACGAAAAGTGCTTGAATCCCGAACATTTTTTCTGTTAAAAAACAAGTAAATTAGTTTTATTTTACGTTTTTTTAATACAGTTAATACAGTCAACAGATATTATGGCACAATTTGGAGATCATCTTGACTGAGATAAAATAAATGTTCGAGATCCTATCTTTGACAGGAGAAATATTAAACATGAACAAATCAGCCAAATGTCAACACAAAGTAATACAAGTTTTATCTTAAAATTGTTATATTTGTTTAATAATAATAACAAAAGCTGATTCTGAATGTGCTCTTATTGTTTTCATTCAAATTTAAACAATGTTTTATAATTGCTTTTTACTAATATCTTAACGAATTTTAAAATAATATATAGACGTTTGTATTACATTCAGGAATACAAAAACTTGATCGAACAATGCGAGCTAAAAAGTTGCTTTGCGGGTGAGTGTAGAGCTTGATATTTCTAACTTGAAGGACACAAATTAGGTACATTGTTTTGGATTCGCAAGATGTCCTTAATTTCAGCCAGCCCTGATGGGTAACTTAATGATATTAGGAAAGGTAAGACACAAGGCTAACGAAAATATATCGTATATCGAATTCATAGAAACAGATGAACTCTACTTTATCGGCCCCATGGCCCGCAGGTTCGAAAAGATAACCTGTTCCTTGTTTTTGTATTGCAGTTACTAAAATATAAACTTAACAAATAAAATGTATTGAACACAATAATTTTCTATAAATAACATACCCGCTTAAGATCTCGTTCTGCGCAAAGAAGAGCATCCAGCCACAGAAATTACCTGACATTTTATATGTTTCAGTCATGCTAATTATGGTCGTTGTTATCTCAGAATAATTTGCTAAAGATGTTCCATCGCAATAAAATGTCAGTATCTGTTTTGAAAATCTTTTTGTTCAACAGTGTCCTACCTAATTTTGTATGCAGTTTTGTTTTGTGTAGCTGTGTTGAAAACAAGTGCCCCCGCTGAGTGGGAGGATAAAATGTCCAAAATGTGTGGGTGCCAGTAGATTTCTAAGCTGTCTAAAAGTATCGCTCGGCTGCGTGCTCAGTGGACCCCCATGCTTTCATCAATGGAAATTTGTCTCATGTGTTGATTAGATTTAATTATTTTAAGGTTGCTGGTGCTAAACGTGACCTGAGAGAGGGAGAGAGGGAGTTTGCGAGAGAAAGCGAGAGCGAGGGAGGGAGAGTGTGTGGGAGAAAGAGAGTGTGAGATGGACCAAGAGAAAAGAGAGTGAGGAAGAGTGATAGAGAGTTGATTGATTGATATAGCGAGAGTTAAAAAGGTCGAGGGAGTGGATGGGAGTAAGAGCAGGAGATATATATAGAGAGATAATGTAAAAAAGAGAGTTCACAAGAGAGCATATGTGAAAAAGTGTTAGCGTGAGAGAAATTAGGGGTAGGTAGTGGCGTAAAGGATCAGCTGGGGGGGGGGGGGAGGGGGGGGTCGTGGACATTAAAAAACCTTCGGATTTATTTCCTTAAAACAAGCATATTTTTGCTAATTGCTAGGAGCTGATTGCAGTGAAATAAGTAGCACTTTTAATACTGTTTTTATAATTTTTGATTATCTCTTTCCAATTTAAAAAAAATTAAAATCGTATCACATTTCTCCACACACTATCGAGTTCACACACTTTTGTCCTGCTAGCTCAACATTTCAAGGGGTGGCTACCCTCACACACTCTCTCTCCGAACTTCCACATTTTCGTTATAGACATCTACGTCACATATGGGTTACTATGACAATAATAACTTTCAGCCAAAGCACAAATAAAAAAAAAACATAGTAGACCTCTTTGTCGTCATACCTAGCATCATGACCAGCAACATCAGCATCATTAACATTATCATCACCATCCTTATCATAACAATCATCGTTTGGAACTTAAACACCTGCTCCACACTTGAATTTTTCCGCCAGGTGTCGCGAGCTGTGAATTACCTTGATGTATCTGACGCAAGTTTTACATTGTCATCTCGCTTTTGTAGCTAGGATTTTTAACGTGAATTTTGTTGTGAGCTTGTCGCAAAATGACGCGTAACACAACCCCAAATGAAAATGTTGAAAGGATGATCATTGGTGAGAACGTAAGTTACAGATGTTAAGTAGAAGGAATAAAAGGACAAGACTTGTCTGAGGGAATTGTGCAGTAAAGCAGACCGAAACTCTTTTTAGCTGGATGGCCTTTTAGATGTATTAATGGGGGCCGCATTAAATGATGAAATTAATATATATCGAGTACAAATATTAATGTATCCATTCGTATACAATTCAAAAGTTGACGAAAATTGATACTATTAACGAATATTATCAATTTATAAATATCATGATACAGGAAAAAAGGTTAGATAATCACCGGCTGTTTTAAGCAGCAGGTGTTGCATATTATTATCTCCCTTGATGAACAACGTCATCTGTTTAATAACATAGTAAACCGTCTATGAAGGGATTATATTTTACATGAAATATCTTTAAAAGATAATGACAAAAATACGGATAAGAAAAGCCAAGTGTAGAATAATTTTCATGTGTATCTAATATAAGCCACATAAAGACTATAGTAACCTTTCTTATCCATAGTCTATCGCACTGTTTAAAACAAAATTATGCAGCATAGCGCTCACATGATAGCCCAGGGCGCCAAATCGAACCGTGCAGGGGCGCCGGCGGACGCGCTTGTGTCAATTTAGTGAACAAAATTATAATACTCCAAGCTTATCCGTAAATGGAAAGAAATAAACATATAGGATTTGTAGGACCTGGCTTATTAAATGTTATTGATTTTAAAAAATAATTAGTGAACAGTATGTCCAGTGTATAGAATAAATAAAAGGCGGTATTAAAAATACCAACGACATTGCACTCAATCAATCCCCGCTTATTATGTAATTATTTTTTTTCTTAACACCAAAACAAAGTAATAAAAAGTAAATTCTTTCTTCCCCCGATTTAATGATATTTTAAAGGGAAGTAACTGTGTAGTCAATACATTTCAGACACAATTTTAGAAATTTTATAAACGTTGATACACTTTTTAAAAATTTTATGTAATGTTCATAATTGAAAATTATTATTCTAAGTATACAAAATGAAAATTGTTTTTAAAGACTTTAAATAGTAATTTTTTTACTCATAAATTTAGACCATGAGAACTATAATAATCAAACACTTAAATCCATCCAAGTATCCACGACAAACATTTTACAAACATTTTACAAACACTTTACAAACAGAATTGAACTTTATATTTTATATATATATATATAAATATATATATATATATATATATATATATATATATATATATATATATATATATATATATATATATACATATACATATATATATATATATATATATATATATATATATATATATATATATATATATATTAATAGATAAAGCAAAGTGTCGGGTGCCCGTAAGGGCACCTCCCGGCACCGCATATATATATATATGTGTGTATATATATATATATATATATATATATATATATATATATATATATATATATATATAAATATATATACAAATTGATAAACGATCCCCTTAATATTTTGTAAGGTCGCAGACCGATCCTGGAGTGTAACAAAAAACATTTATCCCGTTGGGAAAACCCCTTAGCTTTGTCCAGATGCCGTATTTCCTTATATAAACAATAACGTCATTTGGTATTTGTACAGGAGAGGTAACTTTTTAAAGTAATAATTTTTAAATAATGATTTTACTATTTTAAAGAAAAACAAAAATCGCACAGTATAGCATTCGTTTAAGTAATAATTCGTTATGAATTAAGTTACGTATTGTACTTAAATTGTAAACATTAAATGCCAAAGTAAATTTAATTTAATGTGTGATTTATACTATTGAGGAAGGAAGCCCTGAGCACTCTACATAGCAGCCAATCACCAACTAATTAATAATTCGAATTCTCAAATATTATTTAAAACCTAAGCGAAGCTAGGCAATATATATATATATATATATATATATATATATATATATATATATATATATATATATATATATATATATAAATAAAGAAATATTTATATATATATATATATATATATATATATATATATATATATATATATATATATATATATATATATATATATATATATATATATATATTACGGGGGGGGGGATGACACCATTAAGTGCCGCACCGGATGACGCCCGACCTCGCTACGCCACTTCTCACTGCCTTAACCCTTTATCTACTGACGGTACTTATAAGTACCACTTTAATTAAGTGCCTGTTATTTTTTATTTAATACGAATTTTAAAAATTATTGATGCAATTAATAGTATTATCTCCCCTAAGTCGCCGGTAGTTGGAGGGATCGATGTTTTTTTTTAAATTTTGGTGTGGCACCAATTTCATTGTCTTGCTATTTCGGCAGTTCACAATTGTTCTGTAACGTTCTCACACACGTTCCTGATCTCCCTTTGTTTTACCTTATTCTTGAAGTTTTCATCCCCAAATATTTTTTATTGGCATCTCCAATAGTCAGGCAAACGCGTTTAACTTCGAGTTATACAATTTTAATCAAATTTGTCTATGTATTAGATCGATGTTTACAAATGGACTTATAAGTACCGTCAGGGCACACGGTCATTTTTTAAGGATTTTTAGGAAAAGTCAGATTTTCGATTTGGCGTGACATAAATATTGTTTTGATAATTAATTATCGAAATGTACTTAAAAAAATGATATTTACACATTTATAAGAAGGTTAGCATATGGTTTACCTAAGAAATATTATAATTACATGTTGATTTCTAGTAGTAAAAGAATAACAAGAATAAAGGTCGCAGTTGCAGGCTCGTTTACTGGGTTTATTATACTTTTGTATACCAAAGCCTAGTTCTAGTAGTAAGATTTAATTTGTTAGTTATATTTACTGCAACAAACTGTCTTGCCTACAATAACTAGTATTTACGTAATGTATACCTGTAGACTAGTAATAGTCCATACTTCTGCATATAGTATAGATCTATATG